GAGCTGTGAGGAGAGATGGTTTTCTTGTACCCCAGCTAACTGCTATGCCCCAGGATGAGCTTGTGTAGGAGGGCAGGGGGTTCCAGAACAACAGCAGCCCATGGGGCCCACACAGGTTAAATCCCAAACAGCAGACACTTTCCATGCTTACAGAAAATGCCCTGGAGTGCAATGGTGTAGATTCAGGCTGAGACACAATCCCCAGGCTGGGCACAGGACCTCATCTTTCTGAGCAGGAATTGCCTCCTAGCTGTGCACAGACACAGACAACTTTGAGCATCAAAGACAAGCAGAAGAAATTGTTTCTACCTCCAGCTAATGCTATGAGAGAAGTTATCAGGCTAGGGGGACAGGAGAGAAATCAGTGCTTGTGCCTCAGTTTCCCCAACATACAGCTGAAGGGAAGCTAAAGAAATGCTGCAGTCTTCAGCAAAAAGCCTGCTCCAAGTCTAGGAAATCCCTGTGGCTTTAACACACCGTCTGGGATTTTAAGGGCTTACCAGAAATCTCCCTGACTTCCCCGTGTCCCTTTTCTTCCCAGCACAGTAGAGCACTGCCCTGCAGCTGCATGGAGAGCAGCCATTGGTGCCAGGGTGCCTGAGTCCTTCCCATGACCTAGGTGCAGAGCTTGCTGCAGGCTGGGCTGATGAAAGCCTTGTGCTTATCCAATTACTGAAATCATTTTTAACTCAGGCCAAATTAAGGTAAAATGCAAATAGGTGTGTTAATTCCCTGCCTCCAAAAATAGACAACAGAGCCAGGGATGTTTGTAGACCTCAATGAGGGTAAGTCCAGGGAGAAGCCCCTTGACAGCAGCAAACTGTGCCTTGTATGAGGGAAGGAGTGGGGCTCTTGTACTGGCCTCTGAAAGCCCATTTATAGGGATGCAATTGGGGTTGTGCCTTATCAGAACCACCTGTTCCAGCTCTGCATTCCCAATGACTGAATGTCGGTAAGAAAAGCTGAAACATCTTGAGATGTTTGGACTTCATCTAAAAGCAAGCTTTTCTTGTTTTTTATTATTTTGTGAAAGGCAATAGCACAGGGCCCCTATTATTTTTAATTGGCTCCGTTCCTCATTATGCTGAGCACAGATTGTCAGGCAGCAGAATTTCTCATGGAATGCAAATCAAAGCACCAAATGTCCAGGCTCCAGCAGTCCGGGGCATACACTGCTTCTCTCCACTTTTCTATAGGAGGAAATATCCCCTGTGGACTCTGATGTAGGACACAGGGCAAACTGTTCTGCTTTGCAGAGGGGAGGAAATACGTCGGAATAGGTGAGAGCCACGTGGGCAAATCCCAAAGGTGCACTTATTGCTGCAGATCCCAATTGTCTCAAAGCAGGTAAATAATAGGAGAGGTCTGACAGCTCTATTTGTGACTATTAATATCTGCTGATGCTCAGGAAATGTTGTCATGCAGAGCAGGAATAGGCTGCTCTTTGCCTCGAGTCCTGTACAATAGACCATAAATACTCAGAGGCGTTGTGGAGCCGTCGGCATCCGTTGTGCCCAGATATCCACCGCTCTCATCAGGCAGCCCCATCTCACTTATGGTTTCATCCGGTCATTCTCTGTTGGAGTTTATTTTGCCTTTTTTTTTTTTTTTCTTTTTTTTCTTTTCATATATATACACTTTTGTAATAACTTCCTGTCCTTGGAAAGCAGGAAAAAGTGTTCAGGAGGTGACCTCTGTGTCCATGTACTGAGATGGGAGCAGTGGCGGTTGGGTGCTCCCTGATATTTGGCATCCAGCCCATCGTTACCTTCATCCTTCACTACCCCAAAGTTTAGTTGGGCCTCACACTGGGCCCTCAACCTCCCCCTGCAAGAAAGGAGGGGCTTGGAGCCTCCTGAGGCTGAGGCTTATTCGTTCCATGGGCATGGGGGAGGCTTTTCCTCTCCTCTTTCACTTACTGATTTGAGACCGACCTGGCAGTGCTGCCTGCCTCACAGAGGTAGTTTCCAGATGCAAATCCCAGCCAGAGGTATTCCCCCCTGCCCTGCTCTCCTCCAGCATCTCCCAGTGCCCCGTGTAGGAGATCCCCATTCAGCAAAGAGCACCTGGCATTGCACCAACCACCATGGAGTATTTGGGCACCCTGGGGACCTGCCCAGGCTGTGGGACTGCTGGGTCATCCCTATACAGCATCCTGTGCTACCAACCTCCCCAGAACCTGGCATCTGACTGCCTCGTGACTTCAACATGCTGCCTTGGCAGCCCGTGGCATGGGCAACCAATGGGCAAATCCAGCTGATCCAGCTGAACCAGCAAAGGACTTTACTCAGGTGGGCATATCAATGCATCTTTCGTGGCTAAACATTACATCCCAAATTTCATACTGCATTTGACTGCTTTGAAGCAAATCTCTCAGTCCCTGATGTGTTCAGCAAAGGAACATGCAGGACAAATTACTTTCTCCAGGTTTCTGCATTGGATGCTTGTGTAGACTGTGGTGAATTATCCTCTGGTGTTACCAACCTCTTCATAGATCTTGGATGTGATTTTTTCCACTCGCTCTCTCCAATTTATTAAGATCATTTGGAATTCCAGCCCTATTCTCAGATGTACTCGCTGTCCCTTCCAGCGAGGTATCATCTGCAAATTTAATAATCATCCTTGTTATGTCATCATTCAACTGTTAATGAAAATATTGAATAAACTTGCCCCCAGGAGGGACCCTGTCTGGATGCCCACTCAATTCATATATCTGTTTTGACAGGGAACTGCTGATATCCACTCCCTGGGCACCTTACATGAAGTTTTTCACCCACCCTACAATAGCAGCATTTAGATGAGGGTCCCCTGCGAGATGGTGACAAAACCTCATTGACCTATTTGTGTCACGGAGCTCCCAGCCACAAAAGGTCACTTGATTGATCTGATGCATCACTTCTTGACAAGTCCTCAAGAGTGATAACCTTATTCTCTTCAGGGAGCTTACAAGCAGTGTGATTACTTCATCCCATTTATTTCTGGTTTTTAAAGTCAACTGGGAGGCTTAGAGCACCCTGGTTCACCTCTTCCCACCTTCTTGGAAGTGTCTCCATAGGTCTCCAAAAGGAATGACCTCTTCCAGACGGCTCAGACCAGTTTTTAAGATGTTTATTAGGTTCAAATGGTCTGAAAATATCTCATCTGGGTTGCTCCTCACTCCTTATGTCCTGATTTAGCTTCTCACCTGGATCTGTGCTTCTCGCACTGCACAGACCTTAGTGTCAGGTTTGGCCTTACTGCCTTTCTGCTTCACCTCTATGGGAAGAGATGTGGGAGCTGCTCCTATTCATCCTTGCTGAATTTCTCATTGTTCTCTTCTTCAACACAAATTATCCCATTTCTTTCAATTCCTTTTTCCAGACATTTGGGCAAGCCAGTTGTGAGAGCCCACATTACCAAAATTCCCATAAAGCCAAGCCCAGCACTAACCCTTTGGTTTGCTGCTCTTTAATCCTTTACTTTGAAAGCTGGGAGAATGTTTCCATTCCATCTGGAACCTGTTAGTACTAAAATGGGCATCTTTTGCAACATGTTTTTGAAGCATAGATACAAGGATCTTCCTAGGCACTGAGGGCTTTGATTGCCCACGACGGTATGATAATCTTGTCCACCTCATTCCCATCCAGGGTTCATACCTGAAGACCTTAGAGATTCATTAAGGTTGGAGAGGACCTTTAAGATCACCAAATCCCTCCCCAGCCCATCCCCACCATGCCCACTGAGCACGGCCTTCACTGCTGCATCTCCACAGCTCTTCACCACCTCCAGGGATGGTAACACTGCCACTTTCTTGGGCAGACTCTGCCAATGCATTTCCTCCTAGCATGGCAGCAGCAGCTCAGGTAGAAGGAGCTTCACCGTTGCCATCTGGCCATGTCCACCTTCTTCACCCCCTTCCATCTCAAAGGACTTCATCCATCTTCATCTTTCCCAGCTGTGCCCCATGAAGTGTTCAGCACTGGGCGCCCAGCTAAACGTTGATGCTGTTCCTGTGCCTTTGCTTCTGAACCATGGAGGAATCAGTTTTCCTGGTCCGATACTTTGCAAAGTGAGGCATCAAATAAGGCATTAATTTTGGACTCTCCAGTCATCGTGGAGATTTATAATGAGTTTCTCACAGTTACTGAGCAGTGCCCAGTGCCCAGCCACTTGCTGGAGACACGTGTGGACATGGCAACACTTGAGCATCACAGAATCACAGAATTGCAGGGGTTGGAAGATCCAACCCTTCAGAGATCATCGAGTCCATATGGGGACATGGTGGCCCACACCTCCCTGCACCCTGGTCACACGCATCAGGGTGGTGTGGCTCATCAGCAGCTCTATGGCATTGCCATGGAGACCATTAATTAGCTTCCATCCCTCACCTGCCACTACCACACCCCAACAAGTGACATCTTCTCCCCTTGCATCTCACACTGGCATGGCCAAAACCTGTGGCATCAAGAAAGCAGGCGAAGCGCTGGGCAGGCAATGTTTAAATGACTTTATTTTTATTTTTTTTCCTTTTATAAATGGGCACAGCACAGAAATAATTAAAAAAAATAGACAGTACCATTACAGTGCTAGATCCATTGGCAAAGATTATTTTTTATAGTCTTTTTTTTTAATTATTATTTTTAAAGTTTTGGCCATTGAGTAAGAACAAAAACAATTAACAAACATTTTATTTTATTTTTCATTTTTTAAACAGACACTATGAAGCAATTTAAGTACTAAACTCTAGAAGAGTTATGTACATACAAAAAAAGGTTCTGTTTAAGGTATGTTTCCTATTAAAAATATTTACATGCATTTTTCTTTTCCCCTCCCATGTTCACTATAAGGTAAAACACTCGTAGTTCCTTCTACCCTTAAAGAGTTTTTGTTCTCCTATTGGGAATTTAAATCAGCTCCAGAGAAAACGTGAAGTGGAGCTCACACATCATTGGGTTTTCCTTTTTCTTTAAATTATTTAAATCTTCTGGAAAGGGATAATTTTTTGGACATATATCAGTGGATTTTCTTAAATTATTTTTTTTTCTTTTTTTCTTTTTAATTTATACAAGGATGTTTCATGTTTATTTACAGAAGGACCAATGGGTGGTGATTTATCCTGGTGGTGAGCACTCGCGAGAGACAAGCATGTGATTTTAAAAAGTTCTATCAAACTGCAATGGATACATTTATTTCTAAAGTCAGCATTTCTGTCAGTTTTGATTGTCAGCTGTACATTTATGACTTAGACCAGGGGGTGCTCAACACCCAGAGGGTCGCTGGTACCCCTGAGGTCTTTGGAAATGCAGTGATGGAGCTGTTTGCGAGGTGGGGGGGGATAAATCTGGGCATTGCATGGGCGTCTCCTAGGGTGAATTTTAAGAAAATAATAATAATAATAGTAAAAATTATATATATTTAAAAAAAAAAAAAGATCTGGTAACTCCAGACTGAGACTTCTCTATAGGGACGGAGTGTGGGTACGGCCGTGGAGCTGCAGGCACAGTACGTGGGGGGAAGCAGAGCCACGTGGGTTTGGGGGTCTCATCGTGGGTTTTGGGCTCTGTTTCAGCTCCAGCCATGGAAAGGGGCAGGAGGCAGCAGGGCTCCTTGCCTCAGCCTTGGGGAAGCTGGGGAGGCAGGACCAGCTCCTTGCTCCCATAGCCGTGGTGAAGGAAGGAGCCCCCAGCAGCCCTTCCCTGTTAGGCGCAGTTTGCATTGAAGCTGTGTACGCGTGCATGCGTTGCACACACACGTATATACATATATACATATATATTAATTACATACACATATATATACATACATACACACATGCCACAGACATCCCCACCGCCTTGAGTGAAAATTTCAGTTGTGAATTGTCAGCGTCGCTCTGGGAGCTGGCAGCACCCCATGGAAAGCTCCAAACCCAGATGTGGTTGTAACTACAAAGAGGAAAGGAGCACAAGAATCCATCAGTTTGCTCGGTGATGGGTTTGCTCCCATTATAGCCTCTGTGCTGGTGGCTCTTGGTAGAGGTCAGATAACTCTTGGGAGCAGGAGCCAAGGTTTGCATGGAGCGAAGAGGGGGGATTTTGCCACCCAATGGGCAAAATGGGGAGGGAATGGGAAATTTGTGTCAAGTCCTGCTGCTTATTCTTGAAAGGTCCGAAATGAAAGATTTCAGAGGAAAGGGGTGACCCAATCCCAGCCATGAAAAACCCAGCCTGGCTGAGTCTTGGCACTGGCTGATGCCAGCTGTGTCCCGTTGCTCTCCTAAAATACAGAGGCATGCACAGCAAAGGCTCTTCCATCAAAGACATGGGGAAGCAGAAGGAAAAGCCTTTCTACACCAATGGGGCTGCTCGCATCCTCAGAGCACCGTCGGTTTTTGTCCTTTCCCATGACACTGAACTGATGGCGTCTGCATTTCTTTGGAACTGAACCTTCCTCATGGTCAGCTCCATCCCACCCAGACTCATCTCCACCCCCAGAGGAGCCCTCCTTGTGACCACATCTCTGCAGTTTCTGAGCAACCATGTAGGAGAAGAGGATAACGAACGAAGCCTGGTCAATTCTAATTATGCATTTAATTGGCTTCACCTTCCTTTTGGCCTGTGATCTCCTGCTTTTAATGGCTGTATGAGGAAGATCTGCCCAGCTCCTCTCCCTGCTGCCAGCCTTCCTCACTTCTGGAACTGTCACGGATTTAAGTGCCAGGATTACAACTTAACACCAGCTGAGCGAACCGAGGTTAAGCTTGAGTGAATAAAAAATTGTATTATAGAAGTTCAGACTATTAGAGGGGAAAAAAATGGAATGAAGAAGATTAGGGAAGCAGCTAAGAAAAGCAGCATTTAAAAGATTAAGCTGGAAGGGTTGACTTTTTTTCCCTTAATGTAAGCTCAAAAGATTAAGTCCACGTTATTCCAAAAGACAGTGATTTTGGGTGGCCTGGATGCCTGCCATACCCAACTCGTGCTACCATGGAGGTTCCATTTCTGCCGTGCACCAACAGCCGGGGGCCTTTGGGAGCAGAAACACAAAGCCATTAAGCAGCTCTTTGAGCAGCTCGGAAGCGGCCCTTGGGGCCAACAGCAGCCTTCCTCAGCCACGTGGTCACCTTCAGAACATCCTCATCCTCATGATGACAGAATTCATAATGGCTGCATATATGCACACACGTACCCCAGCACCTTCAGCATCCCATTCAAGGCAGCCAGCAGAACAGCCTTCTCTGAACACAGAGAACAAAAACGACGTTTGTTTTGAGGCTGACATCTCTAAAATTGGGATTGTTACAGCTGGGCTGTGCTCCTTATGGTGCAATAAGACCATTAGTGAGCTCAGGGACCGAATGCTGATGTGCAAACCTCAGCTCTTCACAACCACCAGGCCCAGCTCAGCCGCTGTATGCAGTGCAACAGATTAACAGGGGTTTTGTTTCACATTATATGTATATTTATCAAACTCTATATGTATGTGGGTGTGTGTATATATATATATGTATATATATATTCACACATGCATTCAGACTCTCAAATTCCCAACACAAAAAGGAGCTCTGCCGTCTTGCAGCCTCCAGCAGGGTGATAAATCCCTGTATGCACTCATGTCCTGGAGGGGACAAAGTGTTACTGTGCCCATGCAGGTCAATTCGTGGTGCAACAAAGTTGGACAAAGTGATATTTGTGTTGTTCTCCTGTTTAAACTGCTCTAAGAGCAAAGCCAACATCTCCACAGGACACTGCTGAGATCGCAGCTACTGTTAAAACAAAGATCCTCAGCTGCACGGCAAGCAGTGCTTCAGCTAATTAAAAGCCAACTAATTGAAATATCTAATTGACTTTTCTGTGCAGGGAGCTCACTCCAAGATTCAGCCCTTCTCGAAGGCATGGTTGGGCTCTGCATGTTGGGGACAGACAGAAGGGAGAGCATTGCGTGGTTGACAACAGCTCCTGGGCTCTTTGCTTGTGGGCTGCCCTGAGCTGATCCCCACGGGAATTAAAATTCAACCAAAGGAATAGAAATGCTCAGCACTGGGGCTCACCAAAGCCATGCAGATGATCTACTCTGCTCCAAGACGCCCTCAAACAGCTCTGTGCTCCTGTCATTGGGTCCCCCTGCTTGACTCCTGTCATTTAGTGCCTCTTGTTTCTCCTTTCTTCCCTTGCTGAGCTCCAGGACATCACCCCAGCCAAACAAGTTTGCATTCCCACCCCATGCCAGCTCCCCACGAAGGGCCATTCCACACCATTTGAAAATCAGTGCTGCCAGAGGGGCTGCGCAAGCTGAGCTTTATTGGTCACAGTGAAAACCCAGCAAAAGCACAGGCCCTGCTCCACACCACGCCAACACCACATGGGTTCTAGGGACATCGGGTCTCTGGCTGTGCACAGCGATGCAGCAAAGGGTGCTGGTGGCCAGAGTGGATCCACATGAGGAACCCAAACACGGCTTGTTGGTGCTCCATGAATTCTCCAGATGGGAAGGCCGTGGTTTTGTTTGGTTTTGTTCCCTCATACCAAGAGCAAATCCCAGGGCACCAGGTATTCCAGCCCCTTGTGCTTTTTCAAGGTTCAAAGCATATCTGAGAGTTACATCCTCTTTTCAAACAGAAGCTAGGAGCAAAAAGGAATTCCCGCAAAGTAACCAGCTCCATTCAAAAAATAAAAATGAGGAAAAAAAAAAAATAGAGATAGAGAAAAAATAAGCCTCCTTTCTTTCCAATAGGAAAAAAAAAAAAAAAAAAAAAAAAAAAAAGAAGATAAATCCAAACCCTAGGGCTGGTACAAGGTGTCCGGATCCCAGAGTCCACCAGGAGGTGGGAAAAGCCCCGTGAGCTCCATCCGCCATCCGCAACGTGGCATCTCCTCGCGCCAAAGGTACGGTTTCTCCTTTTGTGTTTTTTTGTTTGTCTGGTTTTTTTTGCTTTTTAAATTCACAGTCTGATCCAAAAGAGAAGAGAGATAAAGAGACGGGATGGAGGAGAGGAGGGAGAGTTTGGAGCAGGAGCAGGGAGGTGAGGCATGCCAGGCTCTTGTCCTACGCGTAGAACTCCTCCTGCTTGTCCGGCTTCTGGTAGGTCACGTTGGCTTGTTTGGGTTCCTCCAATGTGTAGCTGCCCTCGTCCTTCTTCTTCATCCGGTAGATGAGCAGCATGACAAGGAAGGCAGCAAAGAGGGCTCCTACCACACCGCCGACGATCACAGCTGGAACAGAAAGCAGCAGAGCTGTCAGGAGGGAAATTGGGCTGGGTTCAGCTTGTTTCTTTGCTTTATGAGCTGAATTCATGCTTAAAACTGAATGTGAGGGTGGCCTCGTGCAATTTGTGTGATTCGAGGAGCTGCAACAGTGTGCTGGTTACTGTGAAGGATAGACAGGACCCATCTATTGGGACGGGTGAGGTTGTGTGCCCCAGCACCACCCCAGCACCTTGCTGAAGGCCAAGCCCTCCATCCTCCCACCAACCCATGTGCTCCTCTCTCACCTATCAACACTTCCTTCCTCTCCAGGATGTTCTTCTGGGGGAGCTGAGCAGCTGAGCTGCCCGACTCTATCGTGTTGTCGATGAGCCCCGGCTCCGCATTCTTGCCCAGCCCTGGTGCTGCTGGTGGTGTCACCACTGCCACCACCTCATTGCTCAGCTCAGGACGAGTTGTTTCCTCCTCCTCCTGGATCTCGAAGTCCCCGCTGGGGCCATTACTGGTTGGGACTTCCAGGTCACTACCGAGGACCGTCGTCAACTCCCCTGGCTCCACCTGGAGGAAAGGACAAGGTGGAGCAGGGAACAAGGACTTACAGGTGGTTCGTGTCTCCAGCAGCACCAGTGTGGCTGGAGGAAGGGCGTGTGATACCATGGTGGGGAACATGAGGGTTAACGTTGGAGTGTCCCTTCCCTGTGTCACCAAAGTGGATGGCTGTATTGCAGAGAGCAGTACAATCCCACATCGTGACTGTCACCTAAAAGCTAAGGTCTCTTTAGCCAAGCAGGACCATTCTGTCCAGTCCCCATCCAGGTGCTCTTGAAACACACAAGCTCCCACCTATGGCCTCGTATGGAGATCTAAGGAGGGTCCCATCACCCTGCTGTCCTCCAGCCCAATCCTCATCTATACATTGCCTCTTGCACATCCCCACACTCACAGCATCCTTGGGGACAAGTCCATCCTGACCTGCTTCCTCCCCCTGCTGCATGCTGAGCTGATCCCACAGAGCATCCCTAAGCAAAGCTCCCCCAGAACATCTCTTTTGTCGGACAAATGGCTCCCTCAGTCCATTACAAATGGGGATGAGCAATAAGCAGTTTGGGGATGAAACCAGGGCAGATGAGACGGAAACCTCTCCATGTCACAGAGCCCCTGGCACAGAGCACGGCTCACTGCTTCCACAAGCACGTGGATTTGTGACAGAGATTAATTGAAGGTCAGCAGGAGCCTGGAGCGCTATGCACATATATACATACCCGGAAAAGAGGGACTAGTTTAGACAAATCACTCCACCTTTCAGTCAAAGAGGTTTTCAAAAGGCCCCTTAGGGGCTCTGAATGAGAGACGGAGCAGTTGGATTAAATCCCTCACCCTAGAAGCCCGATGGGCTGCAAGTGCTCAAGTGGGAACTGCAGAGTGGTCGGGTCTGCCAGTTCCAGGCTGTGAGCCGGGCTGCAGGACAGTGAGCTCAGCAACTGAACCCAGGGGAAAGCCCATTTCTGCCCACAAACTGCCCTCCTATTGCTTGGGGAAGAAGCTCTGGGGCATTTGCATTATCAACCCCATCCCTGTGCTCTAGGTAGTGAAGGTGCTGGATAGTGAAGGTTCAGGTTGGATATTAGGAAGAATTTCTTCTCTGAAAGAGTGATGATGCATTGGAACAGGTTATCCAGAGAAGCGGTGGAGTCACAACTCCTGGAGATGCTGAAGAAGTGTGGAGATGTGGCACTGAGGGACATGGTTAGTAGGCATGGTGGGGATGGGTTGAGGTTGGACTTGGTGATCTAAGAGAGATTTTCCAACCATAATGATTCTATGATTCTGTGCCCCCACCCTTCCATCTCCCCTCTCCATCCCACAAAACATTCTGCTCTCTGCAGAGCTGGGAAGAACCCAACCTGAATGGCTGGCTCAGGATTCAGCCACTCTAAAAGCTCCTCATTGCCATCTAATGGCTTCACCCATAGTCCTGAGCCCTTCAGCAGGTGAGAAGGGCTCCTGCCTCCTACCTGGGGGGCTTCTGTGGGTGGCAGCGTGGTGGGACTGGAAGGCAAGGCAGTGCTTTTTTCCGTGGGTTCTGCAGTCCTGGAGGTGGTTGGCTTTGGCAGGGATCTCGGCTTGGCCGTGCTGGAGGGGACAAGCCGTGATGTGGTCACCTCTGTCGGCACACTGGTTTCGGGGATGGAGGTGGTGGGTGTCTCCAGGGTGGTGGCCTGAGTGGTGGCTGCCTTGGTGACAAAGGGAGGCAGGAACCTCTGGGTCGTGGTGGGCTTGGCGGTGGCCACGGTGGTGCTGATGGTGGTGGTGGTTGTGGTGGTGGTGGCAGCCGTGGTGGTGGTGGCTGTGGTGCTGGGAGAGTCACTGGCAGTGGGACTGGTGGTGGTTGTTTTCCAGCTGGGGATCACTGGTGTTTCTGTTATCTTGGGGATATACAAGACGCTGGTTGTTTGCTCAGGGGACGTGTCCTCCGTGGGGAACAGCTCAAAGGGAGTTGCCACGGGCTGCACCAAGGTGACAGGCAGCATGGCCACTGTGGTGGGCAGAGGGATGGATGTGTCCGCGGTGAGGCTGACTGCTGTCTCCAACCCCGACTCCTGCTCAAAATCTGGAAGAGTGAGAGAAGAGCAGAGGATGAAGTGGGCATTTTCCGGGACTGGCTGGCCATGTGGCCTCACACCCGAAAATCAGAAAGCACAGAGCAGTCGTGGGTTCAGCAGAAGACAAGGGATGCAGATTTTGAGGTATTAGCCAGAGCCCCTCTCTCAGGTCAACCTTTAAAACACCAGTACAGGCTGTTAGAAAAGGACTAATCCTGCCTGGTAGGGCCAGAGACCAAAGTGGGAAGTGGAAGCACTTGAGCCCAGACTTAGTACTGTTCCCTTTGCTTTTGGCTGTGAGGGAACAGGAGGGCTGCTGGGGAGATGGGCACAGAGCAATCCACTCCCCCCATCCCACAGCTTCAGTCCCACCAAACCCCACCCCATGACCCCATGCCTTCCCCTGGGAGCCCTGCAGCTACTCACAGCCTGAGCCGGAGCCCGAGTAGATGTCATCCAGTTCATCATCCCCGAAGGGATCATCGTCCCCGGAGCCCTCCAGGTCCACTGGCCTCTCATAGTTCTCATTGCGCCAGCGCTGAGCCTGCAGCCGAGAAAGGAGCTGCGTTAACCAACTGCAACGGGCACTGCAGGATGGGGTTAAATGGATGGGATGAGGAGAGCAACCAACAGAGCACCAAGGGAGGGGACTGCAGGCAGTGCTCTCCAGTCGAGCTGCTCCAAACCGCTTCCCCCCCCCAAATAATTCCCTGTGGCAAATCTTTAAGGCAAGGTGACATTCTGTGGAAAGTGCACATTGACTCTGATAACATTTCCTGAGGAAAGAGCCCTCTGGAAAAGGGAAAAAACTGAACTAATTGTTTTTGGAAAGTGTTAGAAAAAATCTTGTTTTAGTTCTCCAGCTATTGTTTGCTTTTAGACGATTTTCACGTGATTTCTGGCATTAATGCACGCTATCAGCTGCCACAACCCGCGAAGTGACAGTACGACACGACGTCAAACTTCAAATGTTCCGCTGCTCCATGGCGCTGCTAAAACTTGAAGGGCCCTCGCTCATAGCGCTCTTAAGCATCTTGTTTGCAGATCAAAGTGTCTCTTGTTTGTGTTGCAGGGAAACAGTTTGACACTTCATTACAACCCAAACAAGGAGGCTTTGATCTATAAGATAGCATCAGATGTTTCAAGATGTAAGAAGCCAGGTTGGTGCTCACACTTAAAGCGAAGGGGTGGAAGGGCCCCCTTTGCTATTATGGGATTGTACCTCTCTGTAACAGCTTTGGGTTTCTTTGTTTCTATTCCAGATTTAAATAGAAATGAGTTTTGAAATGTTAAAGTGGTTCAGTGCGGGACAAGCCTGCTGGTCAGGCTCCTGCTGCCTCCTCACCCCTCATTTCCCTCCTTGGAAATCAAGGTATACCAAGTTGGTGATAGCAAGATGAGCTCAAGAGATTTCATATTCATTGCGCTGATCTGTACAGCCTCGAGCTCCAGCTTCTGGTGAGGAGAGGGTAAAAAACCAGAAAAGAATGATAAACAAAGGATGAGTGCAAATGACATTGCTAAATGAATGATGTCTCAATTGCAAGGTCTGAGAGCTGGGAGAAGAAACATTTGGAGCTGCTTTCATTTGCCTTCTGAATCCTGTGCTTGTTGGGTATGGCATGGCCAGACTTTAAAGCCTTCCAAAGAAGACAGGGATGCCCAGAAACTTGCATCTGTCTTCTGTTAAAAGCCTGCTAAGAGACTAAGGCTGTCACTTAATCCTAGACCTTAGCAACTTTTTATGCTAATAGTACTGAGGCTCACCAGGAAACCAGGAGCCCATAACACAGCCGCACCCCAGCCCACTCCTTGGCCCTGCTGGGTAACCTGCTGAGCTCCCCAGAGGTCGTATTCTCTCTGCTTGACCTGCACAGCCTCTCTGTAATGGGAGCCACATGGCCCGGCTCTGCCGAGCTCATTTCTCTCTTAAATTGGAACCAGATGAGGCAGCTCCAGCCATCAGTTCCCAGTGCTTGGATGGGGAAATGAAAAATCAGGAGGACAGGCCCAGCATGTGCCCATCCACCCATCCATCCATCCATCCCACCATCCATCCATCCACCCATCCATCCATCCATCCATCCATCCATCCATCCATCCATCCATCCATCCATCCATCCATCCACCCATCCATCCATCCATCCACCCATCCATCCATCCCACCATCCATCCATCCCACCATCCATCCATCCACCCATCCATCCATCCCACCATCCATCCATCCACCCATCCATCCATCCCACCATCCATTCATCCCATCATCCATCCATCCATCCATCCATCCATCCATCCATCCATCCATCCATCCATCCATCCATCCACCCACCCATCCCATGGATGGAGTCTTGGCTGAGCCAGTGTGTGCCCTGGATGCATTTTGCCCAAAAGATGTTGGAGCACTGCAGAGATGTGAATGAGAACATGTAGTGTGTGCCTGCCCCATTGCAGAGAACAAAATTCAGCTGAGCAAGGGAGTAGATTCAATCAAAGCAACTTGGACAGTTCTCAGTGCAGTTTGCAAGCAGGGCTTGGTCCTGGTGGTCCCATGGTGATGAATCACAGGGAAAGTCCCAGAGATGATGGAGATTGGTGCACAAGGGCATCAATACCAAGCTACACAAAGAGCACCACAGCCGATTCCATCGCTCAGTGGGGCTGAGCCCAGTTAGACTCAGCAGTGATGGGGACTAATTACTCCTTTGCCTCAGGATGAGCTGCATATGTGCCATGCCAGGGCACGTGTCTTCCTGCTCCCAGTGGCAAAGGCAATGGCCAATTTACTTCCAGCTGCCTGAAACTCCCGTGGACACATGATGACACCGACCTACTGTCCCCTTGATGCCTCCACACTTGGCTTGGCAGGACTGGCTGGGAACCACAGCCAAGGGGCTGCAGCAGCAGAAATCACAGCCAAGTTCTGCACTAAGAGCCTTGGAAAGTGAGAGAGAGCTCAGGCCCTTTGGCCCAGCCCCATCAGAGCTGAGCCGGAGATTAGAGAGGCTTCAGTTCCTCTGTGCTGTCCATGTGCATCTATGTCCCAGCACAGCAGGTGCCCCATCCTTCCCTCTCCTCCCCCTTTTATCAAGATAGGTGACATCATTTTACAAAGAAAAAAAATGTACTGATTGGGAAGAGGGTCCCACTGAGATGCCCAGCACAGCAGCATGGGTTGTTTGCTGGGAAACCAAGGAACTAACGTGTCCTGCCACCTCCTGCACAGCCCTGCACATCTCTGGACACGTCCTGCTGCCAAACGTCTGCCTTGCACGCTGGGAGGAAGGGTGCCTTATAAATCCATCCTCAGCATCAGGGAGAGGCTGGCAAACCTCCCTAGGATGCTCTCAGGTCCTTCTCTGGTAGCCATCGGCATGGCAACGGTTGCCATGGAGACCGCCTCCTCCATGGCGACGCAGCATCCACTGAGTGTGCAGGCAATGGGAGATTTCCTTGGGCACACCCACCCCTAACAGCTCCGAAATTCCTTTCCCAATGAGGTCACAGGAAAAGGACATGGGGACCCCCCTTGGGAAACAGAATTCTGTGTGCCCCACTGGGACCCCACAGCCCAGGGAGCATGCCAAAGCCAGCAGCATTGGAAAGCTCAAATGGACACAACCCATGCATGCAGGTCAGCAATCTGTCCGTGGCTGAATGCCATTACCTCAACACGTTAAACTGAGAACAGACCACAGGAACAGTGTTGATCATTTCTATGATATTTTCCAGGGGATATTTTCAGTCTATCAGTCCTTGAGAGCACCTTTCTGGTGTTTTCTATATAAAACCTTAATAACTCATTCCAGCACATGATTTAGTGATACTATAAACAGTTGAAATAATATTAACTCGAACATAAAGTTGGAACGAAAACATTGTTTCTGAACCTTAAAGACTCCACAATTCTTTTCCCACTACGAAACTGCTGCATTTCCACGCTTTGATCCAAGGCTGAGTTAAAAATAAATGTGTCAGCAAGCTGCTCCTGACAGCAGGACTGATGGCAGCGACCGTGGAGGCTGCTTGAGCTGGAGGTGTCCATAGCAAAGCCAAGTAGGATGGCCAAAAGGCAGTGCTGGATTCTGGGGGTGCAGGATGCTGGTGGGAAATGCTCTTCCTGCACATGGGAAGGCTGCATCCTCACCGCCTCAATCCCAGACCAGTTACAGCTCTTAGAGTCATAGAATCATTCAGGTTGGAGAAGACCTCTAATTTCATCTGTCCACCTATCACCAATATTGCCCACTACACCAAGTCTCCAGGTACTGCATCCACACGTTTCTTAGCACATCTGTCTGCATTCTCCTCCTCCTCGGGATCACCTGCTTCCAGTATCATCTTTTATTCCCATGCTTCAGTGGATTACTGCCAGATCTTACCCCACAACATAATAAAATATCCCCAAGCCAGAGCTGGCATGAAAAATAGCAAACCTCCTGACATCAATTGTTGCTAACACCTCCTCTCCCAGCACACTCCGCTTTCTCCCTCCAGGGAGATGGTGGGGAAAAGACACAACAACAAACCCCCAAACACAGCACCACCTCCTGCTGCATGCAGAACACCCGCTGAAGAGGTACAAATGAGCCCAGTGAATGGGACTGCATCAGGCAGGTAAGAATGCTCCATAGGGATGGGGTCAATGTAAGTGCCAACACCTCCATGAATAGGGTCACCCTAAATGCCAACCACACGGCAGACAGGATCACCCCAAGTGCCAACCACCCAATGGATGGGGTCACCTCAGACACCAGCCATTCTGTGGATGGGTGGTTCTGCACCTCAGAGACAACCCAGCAGCTTAAACAAACCATGCAGGACTTCCCCACCCAGCCCAGAATTGATTTAATTTGCTCGGCTCCGTAATCCTATTGCAGCTTAATGTGCAAAACCGTCTTGAGCTTTTCTCACCTTCCACAAAGGAGCATTTCAGAGCTCGCTCTCCCAGCTGAGATTCAACCTTCCAAAGAGCTGGAAAATAGGACTTTATCTCTTTTCCCCCACTTCTTAGGTTGGAAAGAACCTTTATGATTATCCAGTTCCAATCCCTGCTATAGGCTGCTCCCCACCCCTCCCAGATCAGGTTGCCCAGGGCCACATCCAGTCTGGCCTTGGGCATATCTCCAGGGATGGGGCACCACACCTTGTTTAGCCGACCTGAATATTGGGTTGGGTGCTCCCAGGGGCATGCACTGATTCACTGCTGTGGTTTGGGAGATGTTGCAGTGGGGATGCAGTTGGATGGGAGGGTTAACTCCTGAAAAGCAAATACATGCATGCGTGCATTCATATGTGCTGGAGCACCTGAATTTGAGAAAGAGAAAAAAAGGCATTTCTTCTCCCTACTCCACACTGGGACTTAGGTGATATTTGCCTACCCTGAGCTCTATCTGTTGCAACTATTTGTTTGCAAATGCAATCAATCTGCTTCCAATAGCACCATTCAGCCGTGCTCCCCACTCTATCATAATTTTAGGCAACACAATGTGCAATAAAAAGTAATAGAAACGCAATTAAAGGGAAAGCAAAAGACATTCCCCTGCA